CCTCTTCTGGGGCAGCTGTCTTCCAGCTGCATACTCTGCAAGGCTGGTAGACTGTTTCCTCCCTCAGCAGCTGATTCCCAGCCCTGTGCCCCAATTGGCAGATCAGCAATTTGCTCCCGGTCAGCCGTCTACATGTACAGTACTGCACAATAGCTACTGCACAATTAATCCATTACCTGTATCTACAGATAGTAGCCAGCCAGCCATGTAGTAGACTAATTTACTGTGCAATAAATGCTGTGCATATATAAATAATGACACTTTACTGTGCAGTAGATTAGTCTATTATGCAGTAAAGCATCTCATGTAGATGCACCCACTGTGTGGCTCTGGATGTTTCTTAACCAGTCTTTAGAACAAACAGCAGTTCTGTTGCAGATGTTTTAGATGAGTGTGTGCACAACAGTGAGTAAGAACAATTTTATTTCAATCCAACCAATATCAAGAAAATGTATGTATATTTTTCATGTGTTTTTCTATCTATTAGCATACAAATTTATAATGATTATAAGCTGTCCAAGTTCTTGTCCATACCATGGTGACAGTTGGACCTGGTACTGAGAGATTCAAGCATACCCACACCTATATCCAGCCAAACCCACAGATATGCTCCAATTAGCCTGCTCTAGATGTGTCCCTCCATACCTATTGTTGAACCCTCTATTTCTGGCATGCCTGAAAGTAGTAACTGGGCATGAGTGTAGAGTGTTGTCAACAGCATATTTCTGGGCTTAAAGCCAATCAAGACAAAACAAAAATTGACATTTTCCCTTCAAGGCTCCATAGACTATGCAATTTCAGGACAGCCCTGAATACAGTACCACAGAATTCAATTTTTTTTCTCAGAACTATCTGTGCATTGGGAATGTAACATTTTGATTTCTATTTATCATGCTCTTTTACCGCAAGGGTAGTGATGTTTCTTCCACTATGGAGTGGAAGCAGCACGGAAGAAGACATGAAATCTAGTTTACAGTGAAAAAGTAAGATGAAACACAGCAACCTAGGTGCCAGGAGATAAACCACTGAATCCAGCTACAAGCTACACCTGGAATACATGAAGCAAAAGGTCAGGTTTTGAGCAAGCATTTTTACATTTAATCATAGTCTCTTTAGTAGTTGAGGAATTGATTACATACAATGAGAAAGCTCTTTTAAGAATAAAGAAAAATAAGAAAATGAGGTAATATAATTGCCTAACTTTCATGCTGGTGAAACTGTTGTAGAGTCAAAGAATTTAGGCATAGAATCAGACTACAAATATGAAGTGCTTTAAGAGCTTAAGATTAAAATGAAATGGAAATGTTTTTATTATAAATGTATGCTACCAGATGATTGAGCACGGGTTTATATTCCCATGAACAAATCACAATTACAGAGACTGAGTAATGATTTGTATCAGGGTAGTTTTGTTTTATGGAAATATTGTAGTCTACACTAACTTTTATTAAACATTGAAATCAATACAATGCATTTTCATATTTGGGAATTTTGCAGATTCACGTTGATAGTTCCCATAACATTCAGGAA